ATGGGTCTTCAGCAACCCATGCTTGCCATAAAAGGCGAATATATTTGTCGTAATAGGAGACTAACGGGATCGGGTGGTCAGGCTCGCTGAATTGGTTGATGCATGTCCTCGTTACTCAATTGCGTTGATCAATGCTCATGATGTCAATCACTGGATTGTCAAGACTCAATTATTTACAGACCGCCATCATATAGCTGGAATATTGCTAAGTGCGGTGTTGAACAACAAACAAACACCAAGACATATCCGACAGTTCGCATGTGTCACGCGCAGTAGCTGTCATTCCTGATTTTGACACTATATATACTATCATTGCTTCATTGTCGTTCGGCCTGTTTTCTCAGGCTCGATTAAATAAGATGCACGAGTTTTGAAGTCATGTCTACCGATTTTTTTCGTTTGTTTCTTCTGGACGTACTTGGCGATGCTTTTAGCCCCGACTCTGAACCCGTTGCATCCTTCATGTTCGCCTCCACTTTACTGTACTGGAGAAACGTATGATTGAAAAGAAGTCCCGATACTGGGTCTTAGGAACAGAAAACAATATTACACGTATATTCCACTGCTGTTATATAGGCTTGCTGACTTGGTTGATGCATGCCATCGTATCCAATTTGCTCATGATGTAAACCACTGGATTGTCTGGTCCAGACTCGATAATTTATTGAACGGCGTCATATAGCTTTGGTCACAGATAAATGAACAATTGCGACACATTGACGGGACAATTATTGCAGTAGTATTGCGATTGTATTATGAAAACCTTGTTAGATCATTTGCTTGATGCACAAGTCTGTTCCGCCCATCATTCACTTGTTTTAGTTCAGTAGTTATGGACCCACAAACATCACAGGTAATTAAAAAGCACTACAGGGATGACGTTCTTCAACCTGTGATGTTGTCATTCCTTCGCCAACAGAAACAGGAACGCTGTTGCAGCACGATAATGCTAGGCCGCACACTGCAAGGGTCGTCCATGATGTCTTACATTACCTCCGCACGACGCAGCCTTTCTTCCATGGGAAGCTCTCTCACCTGACTTTGACTCCAGTGAACACCTGTGAGATCATCTCGAACGTCAGATCAGGAGGCGTCTGAATTCGCCACAGAACCGTCAACATCTGGAAGCGGCACAAAGGGGCGAGTTACAGCGGATTTCTAATGACGTCATCAGACGGCGAGTCTGGGTGTGCTTTTGTGGTCGTCGTGGTCGTATTGGCTGCTGAGAATGTCTGCCACGTGTGAGTGAGTATGGTTTTACGCCACTTTTAGCAATATTCCAGCAATATCACGGCGAGGATCCAGAAATGGGCTTTACACATTGTACCCATGTGGAGAATCGAACCCGGCTCTTCGGCGTGACGAGTGGACGCTTTAACCACTAGGCTGCCCCACTTGCTGTACGTGAACCACCTCAAACTGATCATGACAATTGATCTTCAGCAACCCATGCTTGTCGTAAGAGGCGACTAACGGGAACGGGTGGTCAGGCTCGCTGTCTTGGTTGATGCATGTCATCGTATCCCAATTACGTAGACCGATGTTCATGATGTCAATCACTTGATTGTCTGGTCCAGAGTCGAATATTTACAGACCGCCACCATACAGCTGGGATACTGCTGAGTGCGGCGTTCAACAACAAACAAACAAACAAACAATCACCAAGATGATACCCGAATCAATAGATCTCCATCGAAGAACCATTTCTTGTTTTGATTCACTGTTAGCTACAATAAAACAAGGGTGAGTACGGCGGTATTTATGGTGCTCGTACGGGGTGACGTAATTTGCTGAACTTGCCCAGTCGCCGTTTTATTTTATACAGTCGGGATATAAACAGATTTAATAGGTAAACTTTTATTTCGTTCTCAATGAAATACACATTTACGTGTGACACTTTGAGTGAGTGAGTATGGTTTTACGCCGCTTTTAGCAATATTCCAGCAATATCACGGCGGGGACAGCAGAAATGAGCTTCACGCAATGTACCAATGTTGGGAATGGAACCCGGGTCTTCAGCGTGACGAGCAAACGGTTTAACCACTAGGCTAGCCGACCGCCCCTCTTGGAAATAGAATGACGCAAACATTTCAAGGAAATTTATTAAGCAACTAGACCTACCACACACAGAAAAAAAGTAGGTTTAAATTAAATTTGGGGCAATCGTGTTACGTCGAAATAGACGGACTTGATACATCTTCGGCGTATTGTGTTACCGATATAAACATGTCCTGCAATGTACTAAAACGATACTCACAAGAATATCGCTATGCATTGTACACCCAGTGAACCGTTTCATTCAAACAGACATACTACACGGGGCGAGTAAACATCTGTGAAGATTTTCAACTTTAATGTGACGTTTACCTGTCACAGATGACAACGGTAAATGAAACGGACATAAAATATTTACGCAAACCCTGCACAACAGTTTCCAAATGGTTTGCACCACTCTGCCCAGGTTGTGGGAGATGCGGCTGCGTCAAGGGCAGTTCCGTGTATCTGCATCGGCGTTATATTTCAATAATATTATTCATTTTAAACCCTGAAGTGATAAGTCCCTCCGAGGTCCCACCGCGTTATTTATGGGAAATACTCCTTTTCTCTTCCTTTTTGTTGTCGTCATATTCTTTCCCGCTTCGGGATTTTCTGCAAAAATAATACATCCTAGTTTTTTGTGATAAAGTTTAATCACTATATATAGAGTTTCAGCGTTATTTGAGAATTGACTTCAATATTTATGGAAGTGTGAACGTGAACACCGGCGTTTATACTGTGAATCCATTCGATAGCGTCCTAGCAACCTAGGCCTGTCCGTGAGCGGCGTCGACATGGATGGGTGGTCTGGCTCGGTGACTTGGAGATTGGTTGTTGGACGACTCGTACATGGATGGCGGGTGACGTTGATCATATAAGTTTGAGTGCCCCACTTTACAGGCCGTTGTCTAGATTAACGCTCAGCCTCTAAAATATGTAATGTTGATAGAAACTAGCAACTACATTTAAACTGAAAAGGAGCTCCAGTGAGATGGAAGATTCAGAACCTGAACCTTTGGAAAACTTACTTCAAATAGGCTTGCTTCCTTTAGGACTTTAGCATTACAGTAAGGGCTGGGCGGAAGGGTTTGTTTGTTTTATAACGCCGAACTCAGCAATAACCCAAAATATGACGAAAGAGGCCACTAACGGTCAGGCTGGCTGACTTGGTTGATGCATGTGCTCGTTTCCAATTGCGTTGGTCGATGCTCATGATGTCAATCACCGGATTATTTTCATACCGTGGCCATACAGCTGGAATATTGCTTGCCTAAGGGGGGACTAACGGGATCGGGTGCTCAGGCTCACTGCATTGGAAGTGTAAGAAATTATTATTTGGAGTATGTAGCTTATAGAGGTTACCACGCGAGTGTGTTTGGGGATGGTAAATATCCTGCATTAGGAATACATAGTGTTTATTCCTAATACAGGATATTTACCGCGATAACCTCTTTATCACAGGGTAAGTGATGTGTCAGTCGGACAGTGAAAATAGCCGATATATAACTGAAATCCGTTTTTACTTGCCCTCCGCGGCAATCCTTCGGTCTGTCCGCTAGAGTAACTGCCCTTTGTCAAAGGGGAGCTACTCTAACTCTAGTCTATCATGCATAGACTGGTTGATTGGAAAGCGGAACAAGTGCAGCGACACCAAGCGGAGGATCCGGGAACCAGTCTATGAGACGTCACGTCTACGTTAATATCAGACGTTGTTGACAGTCGGCCTGTCCTGTCAGAACGTTAAGAAGTGCAGTCAGATGTACACACAGCGACAAAACGAAACAAGGTAACAATTCAAACATATTTCGGCCAAATCAAACTATTTTGATTTGTGGAGAGGTCTACAAGCACAGATATGGCTACTGATCCCGCTTGGCTTGGCCTAGTGCCCTCGCAAAATTGTTTCGAAATTTATATCTCCAAAGTTGCCAAAACTTATAAAATGCATTAGCTACGTTACAGTTAGACACTGATTTTCAGTATATTATTCTGTTCTTTTGATAATGATAGCAATTATCCCTGTAGTTTATCCAGATTCCTGATGGTTAATTCTGACTCGATCGTCGAATGACGAGGGCGACGCCATGTTTGTTTAAAAACAGTGAAAGTAGTCCCTACTTGACCTTTGATATTTGCATCTCTATCCGCATATGACCCCAACGGATATCGTTTTTATCTGTTGGCTTTATATCCTGCCGAGAAACCTACCCATTATATATGAAAAAATAAAAAATGGTTTTATATAATGATGCTTTGGTTCGTCTCCTAATTGCGTAGGTCGATGCTCATGATGTCAGTCACTGGATTGTCTGGTCCAGACCCGATTATTTAGACCGCTGTAATATAGCTGGACTCCGGCTTCAAAGAACAAACAAACAATATTATTTCAACTGTTTACCTGTGGCCGTTATATTACTTTTTTGTTGTGGCCGTTTTGATTTTGTGTGTGTGGCCTTTTTGACGTTTGAGCATTGAGGCCGTTCTGACACGAGGCCGCGTTGACTACAACCCTTTTTCACGGCTATCGTATTGTACATCATACTGGCTAGACTGGCTATATCGAATGATGTTAGGAAAATAAGAAAAATATATTACTATTCTTCATGATATACTTGCACTTTAACATGGTTTCCAAATACCGTACGTTACTCATAGTCGAAAGTAATATATGTTTCAATGATCGGATAAACTTTGAAACTTTGTATATCTTCAAATACAATGCGAGGAAGGTTAAATTTTACCATTGCGAGGAAAATGAGCTGTCAAGAAATGTTAATGGTTTGCAAACTAAATCAAACCAAGTTATTCCCCTTGGACTTTAACTGTGTCACAAGCTCCTTCCCAGCGCATGACACATTCGTTACACACTCGGTATAGAGAGCTTCGCGAACGGGCTATCGCTGTGAGGGGCTTGACTGTGTCAATTAGACTTGTTTCCTGTCTACCTAAACAAGATTTGTATCACTAAATTTGGTCGCCGCTTGTTGGCTAAATCGCGCTAAACTTGCGTCGCGTACCAACAGCGGAACCGGTTTATGAGCCAATGACCAATCGTGCGCAGTGTTATCGTACACTGACTTCCGGAAATAAGGGTGGTGTTTGTCAGCTGTTGTTTTGATCAATAATTCCCCTAAATATTCGTGGCAAAGAACAACTAAGATTCTAAAATGATACCTTGAGAGCTTGGCTCTCAAATATATAGGTAAGCATGTATTTATTATCCCTGAACTTTAATTCCACATTCATCGTTTATGTGTGATTGATGGTAAAAGAAAAGCACGATCTTTTCGTCGTTTCGGGAAAATTGGAATCTGAATGTCATGGTACACTATATTATCGCGGTTGTTTATTTATTATATATCGTAATGACACAGCCTTTATGACATACGAATTAGGATTGATCGACATGATCGATGCTGATTTGGGGGTTATCGTTACCAAGTTCCGTAAACAAAGTACCTGCCACTGGTGACACAAAAGTGGGCAACTCTATATTGTCGCGGTAACATTATTTTTTATTGTGGAATTTGTGGTTTTCTTCACTTCCTTTTTGTGTATTATGCATAATCAGTATACATACGACCTGGGATGGGTGAAGGGACATTGTCCAAACAAATGAGTTCTTTTCTAAACAATGTCGAATGAATGTATAGGGGTAATTCCACTTGACAAAAGTTCCAGAAACTATAAAAAAGTCAACATGTAACCAAGTAGGCCTAGCTGTTAGGTCTGGTAATGGGTAACTCGGGTCGGGTGGGTCCTGAGTAGAACATGGGCACACAGGACTACCTGGACACTTGGTTAGTCACGTTATATATTGTTTAATGACAAAAAAATCACTATAGCTCAGTAGTTACACTAAATTGTCAATGTTTGCATTTCTTTCTGATGATGCACACATTCCTTTTGACTTGCATATGTTTTAGTGAAGATAATGCTTCAGTCAACTTCAGAGTACACCTGATCTGATTGTTTGATATATGCATTTGGCCAGGGCTGCAGTAAAACAATTCCCAATCAGACATTTTGTTCCAAACTCTTGAGATTTACACTGGGTACCCGGGGAGGGTTGGATAATAGGGGTCTGGTACCTGGGTAGTAAATCTGGACTCGTCCCAGCCTAACTAGCTGTGACATAACGCAATGGGTCCTGTATTTGATCAAGCGATGCTACGATGCTCAGTTTCAGTCGACTTTGGGTGTGTTTACGAGATTTGTAGATACTGCGATAAATTAAAGCCGAGTCATATGGGCTATTTGCCTTTTGCCTTTTACCTCGAACAATGGTTCCTCGTGGTGCAGGTTGTCTGAGTATTTGACTCGATTTTGGTTACAAAATACGCAGAGGATGTATCAATCCATCTATCCTGATGTAACACGATTGCCCCAAATTTCATTAAAACATACTTTTTTCTGTGTGTGGTAGGTCTTATCGCTTAATAAATTTCCTCCAAATGTTTCTTTCATTCTATTTCCAAGAAATGTATATGATACTTGGAATTACGATAAGTGTGATTACGTCACTACAATATAAGAATGAAATGTGCCTCAGTGTGGTTGTTGACTTTTCTGACCTCGATGTGTGTTAATCTCATGGGTTGACTTGTATTGTTGTATGCATATCCCATTACCGTTCTGGGATGCTAGCAAACTGTTTGCCAATCAAATGGCATGTAATAATCACATATGATATTTTTCACAAAATTTTACTGCTGTCGATGTGTGACTCTTACATTTTAGTTATGAATCTCAGAAAACAATGTGGGAGTCATCATGGAAGATAGACCAGCACTTTTATTAAATTATATTTTTTCATTCTCTTCCATAAATGCACAGCCAGGGTGTGGCCTAGTCTCTATAAACTGCAGGTCATTGTACCTCCCCAGCTGGGCTACAGAGAGTCTTACATCTTTTGGAGGGGGTCATTTTTACAAAATATTTACTGATGTCAGAATTTGTAACTTGAATTGTAAAAGAACCCAGTTATCTTGTTCCACTAATCCTGCTTTTAAAACACATTTTAGGTACAGTCGAGTCCTGTTTATCTGACATGGTTGGTTGCATATGATTATGTCGGATTAACAAGTATGTTGGTTAAACGAAATTAAGAAGTAGCAATGTTCATGATCGAAAATTGGACAGTTACAGGATAGATAACGATACAAACACATAAAAAAAAGGAAAAAGAAATGTTCATATTGTTATGTTATATTTTTAGCGGATATTCATCCTATCGCTGCTATATATTTAATTTGAACCCTGAATGGGACTTGATGTGATGTGTCTTTGTTTGAATTTGCAGGCCATGCCAAAAACATTCTTCCCTGTCTTCCAATGGCTTGTACTCCTCCAGATCTTCCCAAACCACTGCACCGTCTCCAAGAAAGTCATCCATTTTGACCACAACAATAAACATGAAGAAACGCTATGCTGGACGGTCAAACTGATGAACATTGAAAACTTCACCTCCAAATTAAATTACAAATACTTCAATCCAGAAAACATATCATCGTTGTCAGAATTCCTGGGTTCAACATCACACTTCACCATTGAGAGCTTCCCAAGCCACTACGTGCTCTGTCATTTCGAGGAATCCAATGATGCCAAACCGAACTTACAAGGTATCCATGGTCACCACCAACGCCTAAAGGAACTTAGCCAGGACTATTTTTTACGTTTGAAGAATAAGATTGAGAACTATCTCCAGGGTCATGATGGCGTGGAATGGTTCAGTCAAGAGGTGGTACGAAAGAGGCAGAAGCGCTCCATAGACTTCAATGATCCTTTCTATCCTCAGCAATGGCACTTGGTATGTATACAGGGATTTTACCTCGGTCGATCAATGTCTGGCTTGGGGACTTTCAGGAATAGGTTCAGCTTAAAAGCAGGAATAAGAAAGAAAGAAAATAAACTATTGTCAATTTTCTTTTTCCCAATTTCGAAATCTTTTGGATCCATAAAAAAGTACTTAATAGTAAAAGGCCTTTCCATATAAAATAGTTCAGTTCTGCATGTCATCGAATTGTGATGTTTAGATCAATGCTTGCGATGTCGATCACTGGATTGTCAGGGATTGTCCTGACGCAGAATGAATGAATGCCTCTCTGGTCGAGTGGTAGAACGTCCACCTGGAGAGCGGAAGGTCTGGGGTTTCATCCTCGGCTGAATCGTACCAAAAGGCGTTAAACGATGGTACTTGTATGAAGTCGTTTGACCGGACTTGTATAAGCAGCCACACATGCACGCACGAACACAAACACACATGCATGATCGTCGCTAAAAGTGCAATAATCTTTGACTTGTCATTAAACACCCTTGTCACCAAGTATTGAAGAAGTAAGAATTTATGTATAGTGTCTCAGAATTGTAAGCATTCATGACATGGACTTTCCTCTCATGCTTATTACATTGTCCAAGGTAAATTAATGTCAAATTTACATCACAATTCACCTCCATGCCCTCTGTTGCAGAACAACAAGCGCAGGTCGAAAATGGACATCAATGTCACTGGGGTGTGGGAGCGGAATATCACAGGGAAAGGTGTCACCGTTGCTGTCGTGGATGATGGTAAGAAGAGATGTTTTCCACCATCATTGATTGGGGTGGGGATGTAGGTTTGGGCATTGACTATTTCTGTCAAGCCTAGAAGAACGACCTCTCACGTGGAGTGTCAATTATTAGCTTATCCTGCATTATGAATTGCACATTGCTCTTGCTTCTGAATTCCTTCCTGGAAATGAATGACGACCACAGGGTTATTTGTACAGCCAGTGAGTTTGATTACTCGATAATATGAAGGATAAATGCAATAAAAGTGAAAACATTCATTATTAAACATGAAACATGATGTCAATAACAACCTTCCATGTCTCCCACCGACACGAAAAAATGGCAGCCAACATGAACCACGACCCGAGGTGGAGGCAGGGGTTTTATACTTCCATTCATTGGAAATGCTGAATAACCTGGTCCACTGAGATAAGAAGGATGGATAACACACCAACTACACTCAGAACAGTAGGAAATTCAACAAGCAAAGGATCGAATCTTTGAAAAAACACATAAGATCTCATCTCTCATGTCCTGCTAAGTTAGCGAAGAAGAGAATAATGACATGTAGGGGGCGTGTTTTCTGACACCTGATGTCATGAGGGTCATGTTGGGCAAAGAGTTACTGAAGATGCTGATAGATTGTCATTCATTTCCAGCTAGGACTTCGGTAGTTAGAGGAATGTGCAATATGTAATGCAGGATAAGTATGTAAAATAAACATAACTCTCTGATTATGGAATTTCTCCTAAAATTAGGGAAACAATGTAGGTTCTGTATAAAGTTCAAGACAAGAAAGTGATAAACAGGATCCCGTTGATACTTTTGAGTGTTATTTCTGTTATTTCCTCATATCTGGATAAAACAAATAATCATCAACTTGATACAAGTCGTAAATAGCATGAGAAATTCCGAGTTGAATACATCTGGGCAAAACTGATTTGTTCATGTAATTAGTGTGCATTATGTGTGCATGCGTTGCAAGGGGGAGGGCGGTTGGAGGGGTAGGCCATTCCTTCAGAGGTCACTAGTTATGGCAGAGCCCTGTTTGCTTCTGTCCGATTTCAGTAGGGACAGGTTTTTCCAAAACAGCCATGGATATAAGAATAAAACTTTGCATGCATTGTTAAGAGATGTTGATCGAATTCTAAACCCAGCATAGAGATTTAATATTAGAGTTTTTGCCCTCGGTTGATCTATTGGACAGGGTGCGCAGTCTCGCCAATGGGGACAAGTGTTCTCAGAAGCCATTATAGATGACATTAGGAATTAATCGTGATGTGATGAATATGTTTGATAATCATTTGGCCCTTGTTTTGAATGAAAGAAAGGTTCATTCCAAGAGCAGAACTCAAAACTCTTAATATGTATGATATGATTAGACTCTATGGGAATGTTGTTGTTTGCACTGTTGTTGTTTACCCCAGGCATGGAGTGGAGGAATAAGGATCTCCGTGCCAACTACAACATTCAAGGCAGCTGGGACCTCAATGATGATGACCCTGACCCTACCCCCAACTCACTTAAAGGTATCGTACACAGTGGCCCAAATAATGGCCTGCCTGTGGCTCGTAACTTTTCTGTCCGGCTGCATGAAATTGTTCTCCACCTGGTCGACTGTTTGGGAGATTCTTTTTAGCCTACTTGTATATATTCAAGTAATTGTTTGCAGTATTTCAACTGAATCAAGACGCGATTTGTCTCTTTCTCTTTGCGATTTTTTAATATTTATAATGTCTGAAGATGGGCAGGCAAAGGCTTGTAGTCGCATTTATTTGGAAACGTATGAATTCAAGATTTACAGTATCCCCCTGTGGAGCTTCTGGGTTAGAATAGGTCCCATACAACCTGTCACTGTCATCATATTGTCCTGTTTTGATTTATGCTCTTGATGTCAATCACTGGATTGTCTGGTCCAGGCTGGTTTGATTATACTGAAGTTTGGTGTTAAAAAACAAACAAACACTGAATGCAAAGTGGGTGCTTCTGTATGGGTCATGGAGGAACATGATTCATATATAAAGGAGCTAACATGTGTTAACATAATAATTATTTAACTAAGAATGTTTTTAATCCTCTTTGTGATTAAAAGTTCCAAGGTATAAGTAGGTATTCTTAGTATATATATATACGGGTGATGCATGCCGTAAGAGGCGACTATGCTTGTCGTAAGAGGCCACTAACAGGATCTGGTGGTCAGACTCGCTGACTTGGTTGATGCATGTCATCGTATCCCAATTGCGTGTATCGATGTTCATGATGTCAATCACTGGATTGTCTGGGCCATACTTGATTATTTACAGACCACCGTCATACAGCTGGAATATTGCTGAGAGCGGCGTTAAACAACATGAAACTGAAACTAGTGTATACGGGTGGCATATTTCGTGGTGCAGAGTTGTGTCCCTTGGGCACGCCAGAAACTTATGATTGTGGGTTCAAACCCTGGATCTCCCCCCGATTATGTTTCTAGGTTTGTCAGCACCATACCCAGGCTCGTGGGTTTCATCAAAGTGTTGAACATGTGTGACCTGCTTCACTTCAGTCTCTCCTGCCACGATAAGCTGATCCACTGTGATCCAACTCTCTCTCACACTAGTGTGTATATATATCCATGTGTGAACTCACTCACTCACTCACCCACTGACTGCCCTCTGCTGTGTCCTGTCTGCAGCTACTAACCACCATGGGACGCGGTGTGCTGGGGAGATAGCGGCTGTGGCTAACAACAACGTGTGTGGTGTTGGGGTAGCTCACCAAGCCAAGGTCTCAGGTAAATACATCTCACTCTATCGTGAATCTGTGTGTGAAGGTGTGGAATATGTCTTTGGCCCCAAGTCTGCAAATGTCAGGAAAAATTCCAAAGTTGGAATTACAATTTTCCAAATACGTGTTGATGTGATGATTTAGTAAGTACTAATGTTATGGCTTTGTTGAGGTGACTTGCAGATCACTGACCAATAATGATTTTCCCCAAATTGCCTGCCAAGGACATTCAATTTGGAATTCTGGATAAATCCTTGATCTGAGAAAATGAGCAAATATCAACATCTTGTGAATGTTTAAAAATATTGAATAAGTTCTCTGGTGAAGTCACATTTTTAGTCCCATGTGGATGTTGTCCTGGCAGGTATCCGTGTGTTGGACGGACCGATGACCGACAGTCTCGAGGCTGCGGCCTTTAACAAGAAGCTGCAAGTCAATGACGTCTACAGTTGCAGGTAACCGTTGTAACCAGAGCAAATAAACTAGAGCACATGAAGAAGGCCTGAATGAGCTCATGACAAGCTAAATTATTGCAATTGTTACCATGGAGATATTCTTAAATAACATAACTTTGAGATTGTGTTGTCCTTGAACTTTAGAAAGTACATTACACAGCCAATTAACAGTCACTCTATGTTATTTAGTTGCTCAAGAAATCACTACGTAAATATAGGGAGTCAGCAAAATGCCTCAGTGCTGTTTTATATCCCCCGCCAGAATGTTGAAGGGGGAATATAAGAATGTGTGCTGTACGTTCACTATTCCATGTTTACAAAGTTTAGACATATATGTTGTTTTAATTTTTGTTTAACAACATACAGATCACGTATCTTTTATGTTTAATAATCCATATATATTTTTAAGTTCTTACAAAAATTACAACATGATTATGTCTGAATTCAAATAGAACCTAATTGATGATCAGAGTTATCATTGATGATTGATGAAGACAGTTCATACTTATCATTGATATGATTGGTGAACATAGTTAATAGTTATGGTAGAGATGTCTTCCTCAGGCATGGGAGTTCACTGACTTTAAAAGTCCAGTTTCCACCCTTGCCGAACTAATTTCCGGGCTCGATTGTAGCGCCACCAGTGGCTAGTACAAGTTATGTCCCTTCTATTTTCCTCCAAAATATCTGTTGACGTCCAGTTGATGGTATGCATGCTTTGAAAATTCTGCAGTTGACTGAAATCTGCATGTTAAAACCGGATGTCTAGTTCATTACGCGATTTTGATTGTTAGTCCAGCCAAAATGTAACTCCGTAATTCCAGCCTAGTTCGGCAAGGGTGGAAACTGGACTTTTAAAGTCAGTTAACGCTGTTGACTCAGGAAGATGTGGTAGAGATTGATATGATAGAGACAGTGAGAGAATGATATCTGAGTGTGCTACGTCTGTCTGAACACAGTGTTTTAACAAATGTTGGGAAAGTAGAGGTAAACTCTGAACAGAAAATTGCATCACCTTAGATGACTGGGCCAGCCGTGCCCCCTCTAAGAGAACTGCTAGGTATTTAACAACTGAAATATAACATCCCCATGTCACATAAACCAATTTGTTTTTCTGCTTTGCCCAGCTGGGGACCTGACGATGATGGGAAGACGGTGGACGGACCTCACATAATGGCAGCTGTAAGTTTACCTTCATCATCCTCAGTAACCATGGTAACACTTAAAGATGTCAGCTGGTATTTGTCTGTATTCATTTGTCGTGTAGTGGGAGTCCTTTAACAACATATTTTAAGACATCTGTCTCCAACATGAAGCACTGCAGCTGAGAATCCGGGAATGAAATGTCAAATTGTCAGTAACGGAACTAGCTGTGAATTAATTTGGTTTGCTTATGTCAAGAGTAAATAGAGCAGAAGTGCAGCAATTGTAGAATATAAAGTCACTTTGTGACAACACTGCTCACTTGACTTTGTCAAGAAGATCCGGGGTAGAATAGGTCTTCAGCAACCCATGTTTGGTGTAAAAGGTGACTATGCTTGTCATATGAGGCGACAAATGGGATTGGGTGGTCAGACTCGCTGACATGGTTGATGCATGTCATCATATTCCAATTGTATTGATCAGTGCTGAGGATGTCAATCACTGGATTGTCTGGTTCAGACTCGATTATTTACAGACCACCGTCATGTAGCTTGACTAATGCTAAGTTCTGTGTTAACATGGTTAAACAACAAACAAACAAAAACACACTGTTAACAGTTATTCATAAAGGTATGATTAATAGCATTAAATTTGTTTTAGTATAATAGCCACAGGTGGATGAAACATTCATCTGTCAGGAAAGATTGATTAAATCATCTAGATTATATGAATAAAAAATTCCAAGCCTCAATACAGATGAGCAGACATCCTTAATATCATTGTCACAAACCTGTTTACTTTGGCATCACAAGTCTGAGATTTTAGACCTCAATCTGAAGCTAGAGTATAGTAAACTTCTGTTCTAGTCTTGGTCAAGGTTTTGGTATGGACTGAGTAAAGAGCCAAGAGTTGTCTCCCTTGCACATGTTGAAGGACTTTGTCAACTTTTCCCTGCACCAGTGTTTTGTTATGTTTGTTTTGTTGTTTCATGCTGCACTCAGCAATATTCCAGCTATATGATGGCGGTCTGTAAATAATCAAGTCTGGATCAGACAATCCAGTGATTGACATGAGCATTGATCCACGCATTTGGGATACGATGACATGCATCAACCAAGTCAGCGAGCCTGACCACCCGATCCTGTTAGTCGCATCTTATGACAAGCACAGTCGCCTGTTAAGACAAGCATGGGTTGCTGAAGGTGTATTCTGCCCCAGGCCTCCTTGACTAGTGATTCAAGATGGTTCAGCTAAATATAAAATGTCTAAATGTTTTTCAGAAAGCTATGAAGTATGGAGTTGACTTTGGTAGACGTGGTTACGGCAGCATCTTTGTGGTTGCCAGTGGCAACGGAGGTCGTCACCAGGACAACTGTAACTATGATGGCTACGCAAACTCCATCTACACTCTAACAATAGGTAAATAGGATCTGTGATACAGCATGACCTCAGCCCTTAAGTGATGTTAGTGCTGCGACTATCTATGTCAGTATTGATATAAGTTTAGCATTGATATGTATCGAGAAGTATCACGATATGTCGATATATATCAATTAATTAAAAAATGAGATATTCCGTATGTGTATAGATAAAAAATTATTATCTAGACCCAGTAAGTAAAATGAAAGCTGAATATGAACTTGGTTGATCCAGTTTCTGCTTATTGTCCATTTTAACCATGGTAATCTTTACAAATATTCACGTTTCTTTGGCAGAAAATTATTAATTTCATATCCGTATTAATAAATTTGTATTAATACAGTGTCAGCATAAAATTGATCAATACATCAATATCGCAATTTATGATGACCTCCCCAGTGTTAATAAATGGGGGTTATGACAGTTGTAGTGTGATTGTACTTATACCTTTAGTTTCAGACAGCTAGTGTTAAAGTATGATGATAGTGTTATCCATACAATCAACTAATATGAGCGTTTGGGTTGCCCACTGGCTAAATCGATCGCTAGTCGCACCAAAGGCCCGGGTTCGATTCCTGACATTGGTACAATGTGTGAAGCCTATTTCTGGTGTCTCCCGCTGTGATATTGCTGGAATATTGCTAAAAGCGGCGTAAAACCAAACTCACTCACTCATTCGCTCGCTCGCTCACTCACTCACTTGTTTCTGCTGTCCCTGACGTGATATTGCTGAAGTGTTGCTAAGAGTGCTGTATGACAATACTCACTCACTCACTGATAGACTTGGTATCACAATCCAATAAATATGGCAGTTGAGTGTGCATTTCCCCAGCTCATTGATGCAGTGGCTCCAATAAGTCTAGGCAGGAGTTTCCTGGGACTGTATGATAAAATGTTAAATTACATTATTTTAAAAATGACACATGATGAAGAGTGTATTATCCTCATGTGTTTCCATAACAAAGGTTTTCCAAAGTTTTGCATAATACAATACAATTGCAAAAGAGAATCACTAAGTATCTCAATTTGTAGTGTAGCATCTCTTCAATGTTAATGCTTAAATTCGTTAAAACTGAGCATATTAAACTATTTGTAACACACAGTTTGTTTATATGCTTCTGTATACTGAAACTGAAAGTGGTGATGTACTCGCCGATTGTTTCACTATGATTGGTTAGATTATGTAACACTGACAAAGGCACTGCAGACCGATGAAGATCCGGGATGGAATAGGTCTTTTGCATTCCATGCTTGCTGTTAAAGGTGACTATGCTTGTCGTAAGAAGTGACTAATGGGATTGGGTAGTGAGACTCACTGACTTGGTTGATGCATGTTATCGTATCCCAATTGCATGGATTGATGCTCATGATATCAATCACTGAATTGTGATTATTGACAGACTGCCATCATATAGCTGGAATATTGCTGAGTACAGCGTTAAACAACAAACAAATGCACTGCACTGAATAGTGTGGCCTTCTTATCTGGATGTGTAAAACAAGTTTGTTTGTAATAAACGTGAATGAAAACATGACTTTTCAGGTGCGGTGGATGAAATGGGCCGGATGCCATTTTATGCAGAGGAATGTGCCTCCATGCTGGGTGTGACCTTCAGCAGCGGCCGGTCAGATGAACGGGACATTGTAAGTCAGCAGGTTAATGGTTATAACGAGCTGTGTAGTGTCTGGGTGCAGCAGCGGCCGGTCAGATGAACGGGACATTGTAAGTCGGCAGGTTAATGGTTATAACGAGCTGTGTAGTGTCTGGGTGCAGCAGCGGCCGGTCAGATGAACGGGACATTGTAAGTCGGCAGGTTAATGGTTATAACGAGCTGTGTAATGTCTGGGTGCAGCAGCGGCCGGTCAGATGAACGGGACATTGTAAGTCGGCAGGTTAATGGTTATAACGAGCTGTGTAGTGTCTGGGTGCAGCAGCGGCCGGTCAGATGAACGGGACATTGTAAGTCGGCAGGTTAATGGTTATAGCGAGCTGTGTAGTGTCTGGGTGCAGCAGCGGCCGGTCAGATGAACGGGACATTGTAAGTCGGCAGGTTAATGGTTATAACGAGCTGTGTAGTGTCTGGGTGCAGCAGCGGCCGGTCAGATGAACGGGACATTGTAAGTCGGCAGGTTAATGGTTATAACGAGCTGTGTAGTGTCTCTACTAAAAGTAGCTGCTATGTACATGTATCTACAGCCAGCTGTAGTGAGACGTTTCCACGCAATGCGACGTAAATATGAGTATTGTGATACTGTACATCGTGAAATGAATGCGACTGCTGGTCCCTAGCCAAAAATGCGACTCAATATGAATACAACAAACCCCTCCTCTCAAGCATCAGTGGATTTATATCTAAAGAAAACGTCCTCTGTCAGGTTTACAGGAGAATCTTCACTTTAATCCAACTTACATTAATCCAATCACACACCAAATAGCACCTCTTATTAGCGCTGAGTAGAGTACTTCCACTAAAACAATACATGCGTGCTGGCTCGTGTCGGCCTTTGACACAGTTGCAAAGAACAAAGGCACCGTGTTGCATTGGTGGCGTCTGTATGGACTTGCAGGTGTGATCAGTGATGACATGGGTGAGCAGAATGCTTGTCTTGACACAAGCAGTGACAATTCACAGGATGTAATTAGTGTTTGAATGACATTGTTTATATACTTGTTAAAGTGCTGCTCAATAAACAGTGATGTGGAATACATAGTTGTTTGTTTTCAGCGTATGTCAAATTATGACAGGACTACTTTCATGATTGTAATTCATTGATGAGTTACATGTACTTCAGTCGAATTCCCCTAAGTCTGTGTCGAAACTTTATTGTTCTTTAGTCTTGTCTGGTTTATCATCATCGTCTTGATAATTCACAGATGTGGCAGAAACTTTCATTGTGGAGGGTCACACTAGGTATGGGAAGTAAGCAGTAAGCAGTAGACAGGATGACGTCACAACTGACTGTTGTGTAAAGTATTCATGCACCACCGTGATCATGAAAATAGACATATATATATATATATATATATATATGGATTGATGCAATGCTAAAATGGTGTGATTTTAGGGTGTGTAAGAAACAGATTACTGCACTTGTGTCTGTCAGGTGCTATTTATCTAGACTGACACTGAGTCAATGAAAACATTTCATGTAAATAAATATATTTTCTTTCTACAAAAGAAACTTTCCTCTACTGCTGTGTGGAATCAAGGAAACTAGACAAGGTTTAGTTTCATTTAGACTTGTCTAGGCTTTTAGTAAAAAAGTATCTATAATTCCACAATCATGGCGCAGGACTACCATTTATCTTAGAACTCTTTACTTTCAAAAGGTATCTGACTCGCTTGGCTCATTAGAAACCTTTTGAAACAACTCGTAACATAAATGGTATCTGACAGACACTCGTGTAGGAATCTCTATACCCCAATTGACACAGGTATTCCTAATTGCCTCAGTTTGCGGTTGACATCTTTGCATCTGATGATGAGGATTGATGATCCTCCTGTTAACCACTGTGAAAGGTTGTTGTGATAAAGCTACAGTGTTACTGACAGTGTCCCACTTGTTGTCCTAGGTGACGACAGACTGGACACAGCATGGAGGTCAAGGCTGCACTGACCGACACACGGGCACCAGTGCAGCTGCACCACTTGCTGCAGCAATGGTAGCGCTCATGCTGCAGGCTCGCCCCTGTTTGACATGGAGGGATGTTCAGTATCTTACCATCCTCACAGCAGTCAAGGTAAGACCAACACCAGTGCAGCTGACAGTACATGCTGCAATGGTAACAATATGTTATTGAATCTTTTTATCTTCTACAGCAGGGTTAGAAACTAACAGTTTCAGTCCACTAGTCCTTATAATTATAACATATAGCAAAACCCTCAAAAACAGCAAATTTCCACTAGTCCTTGCCAATGGGCAGTTTGGCAAGGACTACAGGACTAGTGCCAATATCTAACGCTGTACAGAAGTCCCAATTGTTTGTTATCATAATGACTTTGTAATGTGATGTGTTTGTTATTTGTTGTGGGTATTTTCATGTCAGGTTGATGTGGACATTGCCCACTGGCAGAAGAATGGGGCAGGCTTGTTCCACAGTCATAAACATGGTTTCGGTCTGCTGAAGGCATGGAGGATGGTCAACGCAGCCAAGGTCAGTAGAGTCTTGTAGTGTGGTTCTGGGGAGGATCGTCAACGCAGCCAAGGTCAGTAGAGTCTTGTAGTGTGGTTCTGGGGAGGATGGTCAACGCAGCCAAGGTCAGTAGAGTCTTGTAGTGTGGTTCTGGGGTTCTGGGGTGATGGTCAACACAGCCAAGGTCAGTAGAGTCTTGTAGTGTGGTTCTGGGGAGGATGGTCAACGCAGCCAAGGTCAGTAGAGTCTTGTAGTGTGGTTCTGGGGTGATGGTCAACACAGCCAAGGTTAGTAGAGTCGGGGTTCTGGGGAGGATGGTCAATGCAGCCAAGGTCAGTAGAGTCTTGTAGTGTGGTTCTGGGGTTCTGGGGTGATGGTCAACGCAGCCAAGGTTAGTAGAGTCTTGTAGTGTGGTTCAGGGGTTCTGGGGTGATGGTCAACGCAGCCAAGGTTAGTAGAGTCTTGTAGTGTGGTTCAGGGGTTCTGGGGTGATGGTCAACGCAGCCAAGGTTAGTAGAGTCTTGTAGTGTGGTTCAGGGGTTCTGGGGAGGATGGTCAACGCAGCCAAGGTTAGTAGAGTCTTGTAGTGTGGTTCAGGGGTTCTGGGGAGGATGGTCAACGCAGCCAAGGTTAGTAGAGTCTTGTAGTGTGGTTCAGGGGTTCTGGGGAGGATGGTCAACACAGCCAAGGTCAGTAGAGTCTTGTGTGTGGTTCAGGGGTTCTGGGGAGGATGGTTAATGCAGCCAAGGTCAGTAGAGTCTTGTAGTGTGGTTCAGGGGTTCTGGGGAGGATGGTTAACACAGCCAAGGTCAGTAGAGTCTTGTAGTGTGGTTCAGGGGTTCTGGGGAGGATGGTTAACACAGCCAAGGTCAGTAGAGTCTTGTAGTGTGGTTCAGGGGTTCTGGGGAGGATGGTTAACACAGCCAAGGTCAGTAGAGTCTTGTGTGTGGTTCAGGGGTTCTGGGGAGGATGGTTAACACAGCCAAGGTCAGTAGAATCTTGTAGTGTGGTTCAGGGGTTCTGGGGAGGATGGTTAATGCAGCCAAGGTCAGTAGAGTCTTGTAGTGTGGTTCAGGGGTTCTGGGGAGGATGGTTAACACAGCCAAGGTCAGTAGAGTCTTGTAGTGTGGTTCAGGGGTTCTGGGGAGGATGGTCAACACAGCCAAGGTCAGTAGAGTCTTGTGTGTGGTTCAGGGGTTCTGGGGAGGATGGTTAACACAGCCAAGGTCAGTAGAATCTTGTGTGTCGTTCAGGGGTTCTCGGGAGGATGGTTAATGCAGCCAAGGTCAGTAGAGTCTTGTGTGTGGTTCAGGGGTTCTGGGGAGGATGGTCAACACAGCCAAGGTCAGTAGAGTCTTGTAGTGTGGTTCTGGGGTTCTGGGGAGGATGGTCAACACAGCCAAGGTCAGTAGAGTCGGGGTTCTTGGGAGGATGGTCAACGCAGCCAATGTCAGTAGAGTCTTGTAGTGTGGTTCAGGGGTTCAGGGGTGGATGGTCAACGCAGCCAAGGTCACTAGAATCTTGTTGTGTGGTTCAGGGGTTCTGGGGTGATGGTCAACGCAGCCAAGGTCAGTAGAATCTTGCGTGTGGTTCAGGGGTTCTCGGGTGATGGTCAACGCAGCCAAGGTCAGTAGAGTTTGGGTTCTGGGGGGATGGTCTACACAGCCAAGGCCCGTAGTGCCGGGGTGTGGGTTTGTGGGAAGGATGGTCAAACACGTTCAAGGCCAGTAGAGTCAGGGGGCAGGGTTCTTGGGAGGATGGTCAAACACAGCCAAGGCCAGTAGTTCCGGGGTGTGGGTATGTTGGAAGGATGGTCAAACACAGCCAAGGCCAGTAGTTCCGGGGTGTGGGTTTGTTGGGAGGATGGTCAAACACAGTCAAGGCCAGTAGTTCCGGGGTGTGGGTATGTTGGAAGGATGGTCAAACACAGCCAAGGCCAGTAGTTATGGGGTGTGGGTTTGTTGGGAGGATGGTCAAACACAGTCAAGGCCAGTAGAGTCAAGGTGTGGGGTTCTGGGGAGGATGGTTTAACATTTGTCATTCAGTGATGTATTTGGTTTGGGTATGAAATATTAGATGTTAGGGTGTTCACGTTCCATTACATTTGAGGGGGGTATTGGCATTTGTTTGTGTGTTTACATAAATCAGTATGCTCATGAGTAATGCCATGTTCACACGTAACTGATGATTGGAAATTGTTATTTATAAACAAGCAGTAATGAAGAATACAACTAAATGCCCAGTTAGTTACTTGAGTTTGTTAATGAGGTTGTTTTGTTTCAGATCTGGAAGACAATACCTTGGATGACCTCATATACTTTTGGCAACACGAGTGTTGACTTGACAATCCCTAAAGGGGCTACCCACCCACTCAAGATCACCCATACAGGTAAAAAACATGTAATGTGTAACATTGGCAGGAGCTATTCCAGGGACACCCCCACCCTTGCCCAATGCTTGTCTCCCTGTGAAGATTCCAAAGGACAATAGACCTCTAGTAACTCAGTACCCCATGCTTGTAGGGTATGAGAGACCCCTAGTAACTCAGTACCGCATGCTTGTCTCTCTATGGGGATTGTGAAATATAGGAATATAGTAACTTTAAGAAAATAACAATTTTGAACAATATGACTAGTTTTCCCAATTTGATCTGCTAAGGCCTCTTAGTTAGATATCCTTTATAAGTCCCTCTGTTTGTTTTGCTTGTAGTGTCTGAGGAGGATGTGGATGGCTATGGCCTATACATACTGGAGAATGTGGAGGTGACGGTGACAATATCGACCCCCCGGCGCGGACACATCGGTGTCAAACTCCTCAGCCCCAGTGGAACCGTGTCTGTGATCGGAGCCCCTCGACCACTGGACAAGTGAGAGTGCCATGATTATATTCAATCAATATAAATATTCAGTACCCCATGGGGATTCTGGGTTAGAATAGGTCCCTGGCAACCTATGCTGGTCGTAAGAGATGACCAAATGGATCGGGTAGTAAAATGTGGTGGCTTTGTCAAATACGTGTCAGTCGGACCCCGACATCATGGGATGTTACTCATTACATCAATCACTGGTTTGTGATAGTATTCTGTGATACAGCTGGAATACTGCTGTGGCTTAGCAACAGTCTTGAAGATTCCAGTGATTTAAGGGCTTAATCCGGACCCCGAAGTTATACTTCACCTCCATTTTCTAAAATAACTGCCTGCCAGTCTCTGCGGCTGGTGACTTTTCTGTCAGGCCGCAAGAAATTTGCCTCCACCTGCCCGACTGTCTGGAGGTAATTTTAAGACTACTTACGTACTCAGTGTTCCTCGTAAATTCTCAAGTAATTGTTTGCATTATTTCAACTGAAGTAAGACCCGATTTATCTCTTATTTTTCGTGATTTTTCTCATACTGTCGTCAGCGATCCATTATTAACAGTGGATGAAAGGAAGTAACTACACTTTCATTAGCCAATCTAATCTTAATTTTAGTGTATTGGGATTGATGTTAAGACACTAATCAGAAATACTTCAAGGCTCGTTGGCATGCAACATTCATGGGTCACCTGCCCATGGTCTTGTTGGGTTTGAAATTGGTTTCCAGCACTGTTCACCTCACCTGTTAAAGGAGAACTACGATGAGGTCAGTTGAAGGTCCTGTGATGCCTAGGCCACCTTGTTTATTTGTTTGTTTGTTGTTTAACACTGCACTCAGCAATATTCCAGCTCTATGACGGTGGTCTGTAAATAATCGAGACTGGACCAGACAATCCAGTGATTGATGTCATGAGCATCGATCCAAGCAATTGGGATACAATGACATACATCAACCAAGTCAGCAAGCCAGACCACCCCATCCCGTTAGTCGCAAGCATAGTCACCTATTACGGCAAGCATGGGTTGCTGAAGACATACTCTACCCCGGATCTTCACAGGTCCCTGGACCACCTGTGCCCTCACAGAATATTGACCAATTGGGAAGCCCGCTACATCTGGTATGAATGCCCACATGCCCTCAACGTTTCCCCCATCGTGCTCACACTGCAGCTTCCTCTTTCCATTGCAGCTCAACATTTGGCTTTCAAGATTGGACTTTTTCCACTGTCAGATGCTGGGGGGAGAAACCTACTGGGGAGTGGACTCTCATCATCATGGATACAGGTACTTGTGCAGATCCATTGTTAAACATATTACGCCACGGGAAGACATATCAGCGTGCCATATTTCAAGCTCCCTGGTGTCCCTGGAACTTGAAATACTCACTCATGGTCAATTTCCAGGCAGTCAAAAATTCCCATTGTCTGATATGCCTGGGACAAGTACCATATTTTCTTGAGTATGGTGAATATGGTAACCTTTCATTTTGGGCAAGAAACATTTGCTGTCACAATTGTCATTGGGCATGTGGATAATTTGGAGGTCGACAAGTTTAATTGATGGATGCAAACTGGTCCCTTTATTGCTCTGTGTGGTTAACAAGAGTTTCAGTGTAGCTATCTGGCTTGATTTTTATATATTTGTCCCCCCATTTAGCAATCAGCATGTCAGTCCGACTGTCCTCCATCCGTTTTCCGTTTCCAGAGCAGAACCACTGAATATTTCTGGATGACACTACAGATCAGTCGAGTGGTGAACTGGTGCCTTTTGTTGATTTGGGATATTGAAAGATACTAAACACTATTATTGATTTTTTGAATGCCTATTGAAATGATGACTGAGACAACAGCCATCACATCAGCTATTAGTATGTTCTATAAATGACAGCGTTCGCAATTGGCACTAGTCCTGTAGTCCTTGCCAAACTGGCCAATAGTTAAGGTACCAGAAGGACTAGAAGAACTTTGCCATTTTTAAGTGTTTCACTATGTGTTATCAGTGTAGGGACTAGTGGACTAAAAATGTTAGTTTCTATCCCGGAATGACCAGTCAGAATCAATCAAATATTTTTTAAGTTCATGGTAGAATAAGGAGATTTTCCGATTTGTTACCTGTAAATTTCATTTGAATCAGAGCCTATTGAGTGATAAAGTACAAATGGTATATCTCTGGTCTACCATGATCTAATGAACACAAACTAACTGGAGCAGTGGAAATGAGTGTCATTCGTAGAGTTACTGATATCCCGTATTTCCTGTAATAAGTGCCCCAGGCACTTAGAAAACTGACAGATTGAGTGCCTATTAAGTCAATAAACAAGTAGTTAAATTTGTTTTTAGAAATTGAGTGGTAGTAAGCAAATTTAGTTAAAACGTCGATGAAATTAATTTTCTTTTCACATATAATAATTATTGGGCAATATTATACCCCTTCTGCGCTATTTTTTTCTGTCAAAAAGGGTGTCAAATATGTAATCAATTAAATTGTGTGTTTTCATAGGTTTAGCATAGGGTGGATTTATAGACTACAGACTGGTCTAGTAGTTGGTCAGGACGCTTATTGGAACAGGGTGCGTAATACGGCGAATATGGTATATATCATAGTTGGTTGAACAGTCAAAACATGATTAGTTTTGATCCATGTAATGTGTACTTACAGATTCTCTTAGTATTAGTTCCACACTTATGTTTTAATCATTTCAACAGATACAACAGAATTAGCTAATAGTTGGTTGGTTGGTTTGTTGTTTAACGCCGCACTCAGCAATATTCCAGCTATATGACGGCGGTCTGTAAATAATCGAGTCTGGACCAGACAATCCAGTGATTGATATCATGAGCATCGATCCGCACAATTGGGGTACGATGACATGTATCAACCAAGTCAGCGAGCCTGACCACCCTATCCCGTTAGTCTCCTTTCACGACAAGCATAGTCGCCTTTTATGGCAAGCATGGGTTGATGAAGACCTTTTCTACCCCGGAATCTTCACGGGTCAATTAGCTAATAGAGAAAGCATGTCAGCAGATGCCTAAAGAAAATGAAGCCACGTTCACCCCAGTACAGCCTTACAAATTTGTATATTCAAAGACTAATCCAGAGGTCGTGTAATCCTTACTTCACAATTCCTCTCAGTTTGTAGCTTTTGTTGTTTGAAAGAGACGAGAATGTTTTCAAAGTTTACATTTTCTGTTTTATTCAGTTCCATTTTGTAGAAATATTGAAGCATTGAGAATTGGCAATCTCATTCAAATCAAATCTTGGTTCTCGCTTCTGCTAAGAACTGAGGACATCGCTAAGAACTGAAGACATCCCATTACAGGTCACGTCAGAACAACCTTTCACAAACTTTGACCAACCAATGAAATGATTAACAAGAAGTCAACTTAAGCCAGTCAGAAAGCAGCTTTCTCAAGCAAAACAGCGCTAGTTGCAAACTGGAGACTTCAGTTCCAAACTACGCTTTGAAACATAGTTGGACAAAGCTCTCGATTCAAGATATGAAAACTGCACAAATTCTGGAATATGTAATAGATGGCCGAGATTGTATGGCAGTAGTTCCCATGGTTATGGAAAGTCTCTTCCATTCAAATGTTTATCCCACTGAAGTGAATCATGGAATCAGTCGTACAGCCCATAACGGTCATTTGGACTACCCCCGTGGTAATGTTTTCGAGGATGGTTAGAAAACTCATTCCGACTGTCACTTTCCTGATCTGTAAACGATGCTCTGACTGGTCGGATGAAAGGCCCTTCTGACCAGTAATTGGATGTCTCAGATCTTTGTTCAGCAGTATGTGGAATTGTACTTGTCCTCAGCACAATTTAGTAGGTTAGTGTATCAGTGACCAGTAGATGTCTGAAAATATAAGCAAGGCAGGACAGGGCTGTGAATTAACAGCAAGATCTGATGATCCATGGATGGAAGGAAGGAAGGAACCAACCTACCAACCTACCAACCAACCAACCAACCAGCCAACCAACCAACTAACCATCCAACCATCCAACCAACCAACCAACTAACCAACCAACTAACCATCCAACTAACCATCCAACCAACCAACCAACCAACCATCCAACGATGTCAAGCATACAGAACTGTAAATTGATGACGGTTTATATTTTCAGACAATGGCCGCTTCATCAATGGTCACCTGCTGAAGTGGCAGATCATACTGTTTGGCACTCCCTTCACTTTTGAAGAGTTCCAGGCCAGGAGGAGGTAACTCATGCTAACCAAAGAGTTTGCCATTTTATCATGATAAGGGTGTTTTTAAAAATAAAAACGAGGATGTTTTTTACGTCACTGTTGCTTCCTGATTGGAATGTTGGGCAGCATCAATACTAAACTGATGAAGTAGACAAATTATGTCTTCGTGTAAACCTCTTCCCTGCAATGGTGGACCTATATTATACTCACACACTTCTGTTTCGGTTTTAAGCATGGCAGCCATATTGAAATTGTCTTTTTGCCTAAACTTTCTCTGCACTTATCATTTTGATACATTCATGTTGTTCTGATGTAGCAACACTTCTGTATCTGCCTTTCTGCATCTTCTTGTCTACCCTGACAATATTTATGGTAAGTAATGTCCACAGAAGTAATGCCTGGAGAATGTAAAAGCTTCTGACAGTTCTGTGTTGAGCATATGTCTCTCTCATTAACGTCTGTTACCATGGTTACAGGGAGGTTGCACATGCTATGTCTGGTGAGTTCCTCAATGACAGCTACAGTCTTCCCTGCATGCCGCCACCTGTCATCGCCCATCCGGACATACCCATGTCACAGAAGACACTCAAGGTAACCAATAGCATCATGTCAAACACAGAGTTGCCTCTCTTAGGAACCCCAGGCTGCCTAGTGATTAAGGAGATGAGACTTTCCGTGCAGAGTTGTGTCCCTTATTAACCCCAGGATTTGATGATTGTTGGTTTAAATCAATGATTTGTTTGTTGCCCACTTGTTAAAGGAGCGGGAAGTGTTTCATCTTCAGTTCAACCAGAATTACACATTTCCCAAAGTCAACTAACCCATGCAGATCTCTGTTAGAATTGATCTTCAGAGATCCATGCTTGTCGTAAGAGGCGACTAGCAGGATTGGTGGTTGGGCTCCCTGTCTTGGTATGCACGTCATTGTATCCCAAATGCGTCGATCAATGCACATCATGTCAATCACTGGATTGTCTGGTCCAGACTCATATATTTACAGCCATGATATAGGTGGAATATTGCTGAATGTGGCATTAAACAACAAACAAACAAAACAAAGACAATCATAATTAATATGTAATCGCAATATGTCCTGCTACTTTAAGAGATAATTCCATGCTGTGCTCTGTTGCAGGTGCTGGTGTTGGCGTGTGTGTTCTGTCTTGTGATGACGGTGTATGAATCACTGGAATATGCTTTGTGCTACAATGACGAGAAAAAGGAACACCGAGCTAAAATGAAGCTGGCTGCCCGTGCCCAGAGATTGGCCAATCAGAATTCAGACAACATAAATCCTGATGATGTGAACGAATCAACAGGGTTGTTACAATCTGAAGAAATTCCTATGCAAACATTTTCTCCTGGAGTTGAGAGTCATGATGACAACTCAACAACAACAACTGCAGAACAACATAATCCTCAGCAACAACATACACAACATTTTGACTTTAATTCTGAAGAATTCAATTTGGATTCCGACCAGTTTGAAGATACCTTATTTGATATCAGCACTCGTGCAGGCCATACAACATGTACAACAGACAATCTATTAGAGAGTGTTCCTCAATCATCAGTTGCCAGTTTCCAAGGCAACCATCTCCTTGACAACCTGCCTTCACTCAATACATATCCCAATTCAAACGGAACAAGTCTTTCAACCTCATGTAACAATGATAGTCTTTCATTTGTTGGTGCTTTCAACCAACCACACAACCAAAGGAACTGGTTGGATGATCATGATCATCATCGCTATGACAACCAGACATTAGGAAGTGAATCTGGTTTCCATAACAATCATAGCAATGGCAACCAGATGTTTTTTAAAGCTGATAATGTTATCCATGGTAGCCATTCCATCTTTGATTCTATGCGAGGAGAAGTGTGTTCAAATGAAGATGTGATTGACTCTAGTTGTGACAGTCCGTCAGATGTTTTGAGGTGATGTTATTTATAGAATGACCTTGTGGTTTGTGTGTTGTACATAGTATTTGTGTTTCTCTTGGAATTAGGAATCGGGTATATTGACAGTAACAGTTTTTATTTAGGAAATACTATGCAGAAATATCAATATTTTTTACCATGTTTACCGAATCATGATGGGACTAGTAGTTAGTATATGATGTTTGAAACTAAGGGGCAATTTGACATTTCGTTTGTCAGTCTCTGATCTTTTCCTCCGATAAGAAACTGCGTGAAGATCTGAGAAACCCTCAAGTCAGGTAAAATTTTGTATAAGCCAATCCATGTTGAAGCTAACATTCTGGTATGAGTGAACAAAGCACTTACAACAGTATCTCTGATATCTGTATCTCAAAAAACGCACATGAAGAGGCAGTTTCAAATGAAAATGACAAAGGCCATGATTTGTATGATAATTTATACAACCAGTCAATTCTGAGCACCATGCATCTACATACTTTTACAGGTGTTATTGTTTACAAGTAGGAAGCGGTATGATGAAATGGTAACTCAGTGTTTTTTAAACTGTAGATGCATGAGTTATTGTAGTTGACCAACATGCTACTCCAACCTCCCTTATCTATCTCGACTGGCTGGTGTATGTCTGGATGGTGCTCGGAGTGGGGCAGATTCTTAGAGTTTGTCTTAGAGTATTGACACTGAGTGACCATGTGTAATGAGGGAAACACAGGATGTGAGGGAGTATTTGTGTCATCATGTACTGGCTGGTTTGACAACTTGTTGAAGTGAAGGAAATATATGCTTCCTTACTTCTTTTACATGTATTTGTGGATGGTCTGCAAAAATAACTGCGGCATGAAACTCGCAGTTTTCGCAAAACTTTCCAGATTTACAGTTATTGAAATCGTGGTCAAACTAACCGAATGAAAACATGTTTTGTAGCTCTTTGATTCTATATTTTACCTTCTATGTGTGATTTATTTACACCATGGCTGGGCCATATCAGGGCTTGTTGTACTTCACTGTGTCAGGAGATGTTATGTCAGTTGGTTCTGTAACGGTCCTGATGGGACCCCGTATATTTAATACTTAGACCCAATTGTCTACAGAATTGCAGACCGCCTCTGTGGATAGAGTGTCTCTAATGAGGCTGCATGTGTTGGCTCCTTGTTGTCATAATGTGTGTTTAGATTTACTTTTATTTGTCTGTGGTTCGATCCCCGGCCGTGTCATACCGAGAGACGTTATTAGATGGTGTTAGATGGCATTAAGGGGACAAAACAAGGACCGGATTTTTTGGGATAACATCGAAGACCCAGGTTCAATTCCCCATAATGGGTGCAGCCCATTTTAAGTGATCCTGTCTGTAATAATGCTTGAATATTGCTAAAAGCAACGTACTTACCATCACAGGAGTTACAAGTGTTTACATTTTCTGTCCGTTTTATTCAGTTCCAATTTGTAGCAAAACTGCATTAATATTTAGAATAATAATTGTGTTTGCCTTAATTATGGTGGATGCAGATGGCCACATATTCAGATCATTTATTTTTAAAGAATTTAAAAGAAAAATCTGTCAGCCAACCAGGTGTTGAAAAAAGAAATATTCAGGTTAGTGTTCTGACGATGCTTTTACTTTGTAGTATACATCTTTAGATCAGAAACTTTTCAATACAACATCAAAGAGTTGAAATGAACATATTTTTCAGTGGAGTGTATTAATTACAACTCTTTGCAGCCTTTTTGTTAAGACAATAAAGGCAACTGGACCTGACCTTATTGCAAGGCCTTATTGTTGCTTCAAAAAAGATCTTACTTTTAAGGGAGTGGTGGCGTAGCCTGGTGGTTTAAGTGTTTGCTCGTCTCGCCGAAGCACCAGGTTCGATTCCCCACGTGGGTACAATGTGTGAAGCATGTTTTTAGTGTCCTCTGTCATGATATTGCTGGAATTTAGTGATGTAAAACCGTACTCACTCATTCCTTATAACTAAGACCTTCATAATGCTATGTTAACGTGTAGGAGTAATGATACTCACAAAAATCACTTTGTGACAATACAACATCTTCGATGATACAGGGTATAAAAACATCATTGGATTATGATAAATATGCTGGACATATTTTCCACCAAATCTTTGTATCAGAAGTGACACCATCTTGTCCCACATCTTGACACACTCATGAGCAAGGGTAAGTAGATTGGGCAGCTCTGTAGAGTACTGTGTAAGTAAAATTGGGATAATAAAGCTCTGGTTGCAAAGTGGTCCAGGGTATTTATCTTACTAGAATGGAGATATACATGATATAACACCCTGGATAATGGAGGATGAAGATGGTAACAATTTTCATCATTAAGCCTCTATTCTTGGTGGACAGGGGAAATTGTGCAGCATTTTCAATTATTGTATGCGGGAACATGGTATCAATATCGATCTCTTGTACTTAATCTTACAAAAGAAATGATTTGCAATTTATTGCTGAATTTGAATATATGTAATTAAATGTCTTCCAGTGTTTTCATCTTGATGATGTTGGAGGTGGTTCTGTTCAATATTGTAAGTGGGATTTTTGTGTCTGAGGCAGTCTCACCAAATCATATAATTTCACTCCCATATGCCACACCTCCCTGCATGAAGATTATACTCTATAGAATGTTGCATCGGATAAACTTGGACCGTCCATGCAGGATGCAGATGTCGGCTTTCTACATTCAGCTTCATTTCTGTATGCCCTTGATTTGGAAATTATGAATTAAATGGAAGAAAACACTCAGGAAGAAAATATTCCGTCGTTTGTACAACAGTATAATGGCATGACCTATATTATTAACATTTGGAACTGTCATTGATTAACTGATCAGAAGATTCACGTGACGAGACCCCCAGTGGTGGTATTCTGAGGTCTTCATGCAGAGAGGAACTGTGTTGGAGTAAAAGATCTGATTTTAATGAGATTGCAGCTGTTGCCTCCATGTCATGGACGTGTCGCCTCCATCAGAGGAGGAACTGTTTGTATGAGGGGGAAACAAGTGCATTAGAAAAGGATGATAAAATTATTTTTTCATAATGTGTGTTTAGTTTTGCTTTTATTTGGTGGTGGTTTGATCCCTGGCCCTGTCATGACCATAGAGGATGAAATATGGTGTTTGTTGTTACCCTGCCTGACTCTTGCATCAAGGGGGTAAAACAATGACGGAGTCAGATTCATTGTACTATCTTAGTGGGTATTCATGGCATGGTATCTAAAGGGGCCAGCATTATAAATACGAACATAAGTCAGGACAAGTACAAGCAGACACACTCACACACAAGTGATGACAGATAAATTTACCCTATCTCACAATAAGCATTTTTCATTCTTTCGGTCATGGTGTGGAATCGCCCAAGAACAAAGTTTTCAGATAAAAACAAAATATTTCACACTTCCCAGCATCACCATGGTCATCACCTAAACCAAAGTAAACACTGTAAACACCTAACACGACCTGATCACCTGACATAACCGCCACACCAATCTCTTTCACCCGTGAAGATCAGGGGTAGAATAGCTCTTCAGCAACCCATGCTTGCCGTAAAAGGCGACTGAGCGTGTCGTAACGGGATCGGGTGGTCAGGCTCGCTGACTCGGTTGATGCATGTCGCCGATCCCAATTGCGTGGATCGATGCACATATCAATCACTGGATTGTCTGGTCCAGCCTCGATTATTTACAGACTTCCCTCATATAGCTGGAATATTGCTGAGTGCGGCGTTAAACAACAAACAAACAACAACCATTCTCTTTCTCATCGCCACTGTGTGGGCACGTAAATAATTATGGTTTGATTTTTGGGGCAATCATCCTCAGACATACATCACATATACAGATGTTTATAATGGGAGCGGACGAAGAGAAACGACCAGCTTGTCGCAGTTTGTGCAAGCGTGGACGGTGATGTTTTCTGTGCTCCCATTTATCGAAGGAAGGTTTTCAGAACTATATTTGAAGTGTCAAAAGCGCACCGTTGGTCGGCGATTAAAATCCAGGGATTCTGAACGGGACGGTCATCGCCCAAAAAGGCCAAAACAAGTTGCTAAACCGGCTGTTCACTCCAAGGTTACGCAACCAAGTCAGCGCGCCTGGCCACCCGATCCCGTTAGATGTCTCTCACGACAAGCATGGTTTGCTGAAGACCTATTCTAACCCGGATTGGCAGGTATATCGCTCACTCCCTCCACGAGAATTGGCGGGTATATCACTTTCTCACTCACTCTTTTGTCCCGAATTCGTGAACAACGCTTATTCGGGCAGTGTATATGTAAATCCATTACAAGGCTACATTGCCAGAAAAAAGCATTTTGATTCAGTGGTCGTTGTTCAGTCAGGTTTAATCTGACGGGCCTGTGATGGACCCACGCGGAGAGAGGTAAAGTCACAAATGTCAGTTATGACATTGGAAGCACAAAAAACAGTTAGCAAATGATTTTCTATGCTTTATTAAAACAATTTGAAACAAAAAACACAAACAAAGAAACGTAGTTTGACACAGTCTATATCGACATCTGAGAAGTCTGACATTCTGTCAATATCAATATGGAAGTTTGGTCTGGATAATCACACGCCCGACTGGTACAAACAGTATTTTTAGGTTGGGTAAACATTAGGCATGTCGCCATACACATATCCCCGGATACGGTTCGTATTGCCATACTTTGTTTACGATACGATACGTGTCACGATTTTTAATTCGCTGCGTGAATTTATATATTTCATCGGGCATAAACATTATTAAAAAGGCTTGAACCCTCCTGAATATCTGTATGTCATATTTCAATCAATTTTTATTTCAGATAAAAATGAGTATCAACACCAGAATGTAAAAGACTAGAACAGAACTAAAGCCTTAAAGGGCAAGTAAAGTCAACATAGCAACTTTGCAGATTTTAATACTTTAGGGATAATTAATCACAATTGCTTGGTCAGAAATATATTTGAAAAACGGAAACAGCATAAAACAGACGATAATAAACGAAAGGCGAAATCGTCCCCAAATTTTCGCCACTGAGGTCGTTCCACTTCCTGGCGTGAAAACGGGTTTTCGGCGTTTGACGCGCTGCGCTATTTCAACGATAATGAAGATCGGGCGGACGCCCAGTCTGCCTGCTTCTGTCCCGGTTTTTATAATACACTATGTCTTTTTTTCTGTCTGCTCATCCATTTGATTAGCGTGTCCACAACTTATGTAACCTTAGTAACAACACTGAGGATGCCTTGGTTATTTAATCTTGGGATTAATACCCGACAGGCGTTTATTGTGTGGAATAGTGCCGAGGCAGAAGGTGTTTTATCACTCAAACTTTTGGTAATAAACTTCTAGTTAACGATTGTTTTTTTTTGTTATTTCAATTATTCACAATGTCAAGATCACACATACAACAATGTATACAATTATGTTATTATTGTAGGATTAACAGAAATAGCAGAAACAGTATATGTATACTCTCTAAGCATCACAAGATAGATAAACGCAGCAAACATATCAACTAATGCATACAGTTGTCAATTCAATTTCAGTTTCTATATTAACTCAAACCACCAGCCGGTGGTATATGAGCAACGTAATAACAGACATATCTACAAATGTACAAAGTGATCAAACGGCAACAGTCGTTTACCTTAGTTCAGAGAGTATTATTTTTACAAATTTAGTTTTTTAAGATCGTAAGTTCTCATATTTGACATCAAATGTTTAAAGGAAATAATATTTGACCAATGTTGATATCTATTATAAATTAATGTTTTTCTTTGCTGATCAAAATATTCACATCTAAAGAGGTAATGGAACTTGCGGCTATGGCTGGGGAGGTGCAAAGCTTACATGTGCGATATTCGCGTGGGATGCCCTCCCAGCGGCCAGTCCCTATCGGCAAATTGTTATTAAGGTTCTGAATTTTAAAATTGGAGTACAGATTTCTGATAAGAGAAGATATTGTCACTCCTGTGCTGGTAGCTTTAGGCCACGCCCAAAATGGGTTTGTTATGGAGTTGAGGACTTTCACTTGGACATTGAAATACTTTCTACGAATATTATGAATTTCTCTCGCTTGGAAAATGACTAAATGTACCGCAAAAATTGATATTCGCAGCAAAATCGAAATCATTTCTTCACTTTACTTGCCTTTTAAAACAATGTAAATTTACAATGTACTGTAGATATGGCTTAAAATAATGATGATTAAATTGTTTATTAAAATGTATGAAACAACAGAGATATTCCATTGTTGTTTTACATTTTTCCATCAGTGAAACGATTCAGGATTAACATTTGAATCGATCCATACAGGATTAAAATTTGAGTCGATGAGGTAAGTGTGTATTGCGTATCGTATCGTGTTAGAATATTATCGATGCATCGTTGTATGAATCATGACATCCCCAGTAACTGTATACATGAAGAAGACAGCCCTTGTTTGTAAACGTAACAGATAAAGAATGATATAGTCTCTAGGTGTTGGAATAAAGTCAGATTGACACAGCGGTTCACTACTTTATTTCACATATAAACCATCTTTTGAAAGAACACTGCCCAACTTTCAATCCACCGACACCCAGACTGCCACAGTCTTGATCAACAGGCTGACCAGGAGCCCACTTCCCAGTGTACAGCACGCTGGTGTTGTCCCATTTGAATGACATCTCCCCCTTCCGCGTGCCATGTTTTTTCAGTCCTACCCAAACTTCTGAAGAGTAAAATACGAATATATTCAACATGTATTTGTTTGTTTGTTTGTTTTTATTGTTTAACGCCGTATTCAGCAACATTCCAGATATATGACGGCGGTTTGCCAATAATCGAGCCTGGACCAGACAACCCAGAGATTGACATCATGAGCATCGACCTACGCAATAAAGGCCCTGCAAATCCCCCACTCCCCCCGACTTGATTTCTCAATGTTTTATATAGTAACTACACATATGTTGATAACGCCGCACTCAGCAATGTTCCAGCTACATGACGGCGGTCTGTACAATATGAATCGGGGCAAGGCAATCTATCATTTGATATCATGAGCTACGAAATTGGGACAGAATGGCATGAATCAACCAAGTAAGCGAACGTGACCATTTGATCCTTTTAATCGCCTCTTACGACAATGCATGGTTTACTGAAGACCGGTTCTTACCCGGACCTCCAGGGGTATCCATTCTAGTCGCCTCGGGTCAAATATGTATTACTGGGACCTCTTCTTTCCAGGAATCCTCCAAAATGCAATGAACCCTTTACGGTATATGCCCATGTTTAGAAAATGGTTTTACACTCTTTTGTTTTTGCTCCCCTTACAAAAGCTTTAAATAAATATATACTAGCCACAAAAAGAAACTGCATACCAATAATGTAAAATATACGTATGTCAGTTCGAAATATATAATATCGAGCGAGCCAAATTTGGGATGAGTCCAACAATGCTACAGACCATCCTATGTGACGTCACGTACATCAACAGGATTACAGGAGGGAGCGAGTGAGTTTGGGTTTACGCCGCTTTCAGCAATAATCCAGCAATAACACGGCGAGGGACGCCAGAAATGGGCTTCACACATTGTACACATGTCGGGAATCGAACCCGGGTCCTCGGCGTGACGAGCGAACTCTTTAACCACTAGGCCACCCGACCGCCCCCAGGAGTACAGGAGAACCCCTGTTACACGTGCAGCATGCACCAGCTCGTGCAGGTGACCCTGGCCCCACAAGATACCTAGCCATTTAAAAGGCCATCGTTCAGACATTCCATCGTTCAACAAATGAGACATCTCAAGGGAAACAGGTCATGCCACGACCAACAACTGCCGAACGTCAGCACTCCATTAGAATGTTGCTTGGTGGACTGTAGGCATGGTGGCCAACCGCTTCCATTGCCACAGAAACGCCATTTCGTCGCTGATGTCTAAAACAATAATGACGTCCAAGATCCAAGGATGTTCACGTGTGACGACGCCAGCACAGGACCGGTGGGTACGTTTCACCCGTCTCCACAACGGACACCCGACAGACCACTACAAACACTACTCATTGGAAAGGAGTGAGT